ACCATTAGACTACATACGATATCTTTTGAAAACGTTCTTATGATACACAGTTTAAATAGAGGTTTCGCTGTACGCAACCCTAATACGTTCAAAATATGCCATAATCATATTTATCGATATCGCAACCACCCTTTCGCCTCAACTGCTACCTGAATGCCTAACAAACATATCGAACGCGCTCTCCTGAGCTCCGATTACTCCTAGTCAGAATATATCACAAGTCTTGCTAACGTCAGCTTTCATATTGTGGCCTACATGTACGCGCGGTTTCGGTATTCGGGAAAAAATCCGATGCGGTTTGCGGTTTTTTGGCGTATTTCTGTGCGGTTTTGCGGTTTTCGGACCCCCCTTACGCCCCCCTCAAGAAGGGTGTGGCTTATTCATTGCTTATATAACCGCAAGTCACCTTATTCAAAATGACCGTAGGTGCACCAAGTAACGAATCAGTGTATCCATTTATGTGCAAAACAAAACAGAAACACCCTTCTAAAATCGGTGGAGAATAATAATCGAAACGCTGAAATCTTTCCATGAATGAGAGAATGGGAATTCAAATGGTGAAATGAGATTTTACTAGTGCTGTAGATCCCTAATCCTAAGAAAATTTATTCCGCATACTTTAAAACTGTGCTGGACACATCCCACCAAACATGAGTTAACGTTCTTGCATTTGTTTACATAAACTGAAACCGGCTGACAATTACTTCGTGATCCAGACATTTACTACTTAAGTTTGAGTGATCATCAACGGTTAAATCAGAACCCATTCCACCAATGAGGCGATGCTAGTTATTTTGGTTATCCATGTATAGTATGGACACCGAAGAAAATGATGTCAGTGTCACGTGGGCGTTGAGTCCTGATCTAAGCTTGCATTGGTATTGAGATCCCTGACATCATTTGCCAACTGAATGAATGTAATCAAAAAAATTGTGGGATATGTTTGTTGAAAGAGAAAACAGTCTTTAGCCTTGTTCACGGGAGCAATTTGAATGCAACCGTAATTAAGGACAATCGATTTTCACGTAATCAATGCAAACTCAAGCACAGTGAGATAAACAAGCCCATTTGATTATCCTACATCCCATCACGTCGGACAGACATTTTTACCTTGCGTTTACTTTAGCCTGCGAGCAAGCTCTCTCGATTAACACCCCTCCCTCTTGCGTCTCCTTTTGAGTGCAGTTTGCACGTGACGTTTCACGATAACCCCAAATAGACAGCTAGAACGTAGGCTGCGCTTGTTTTTTCCTGGTTGACAAGCGGTAAGTGCAAACAAAAGCGTTTGGGGAAAGAGTTCGTTCAATAATGTCTTTTTCGGCTTGCACTTGCGTTTGTTTATCCAGCCTCATTATCTTCAATAAAACGAGGCAAGAAGTGAAAAAGAAGATAAAGTGACCTTCATAGTGTTTCCTCAACTCGAGTAGTGCTCATGCAACATACCCGTCGAGCAGTGTATGAATGGGATATGTCTAGGGAACAACACTACTAAGGCAAACAAGTCTAAAGGTTTTAATTTTGACTAAGGGGTATATCGTGGCAGTTTGTGGCTATAAACTCATTGAATGAAAGAAAAACTGCTTCTTTGGGACGGAGTCGATTCACCATTGGCAAAACTGGTGTACAACCTACTCTTTAGATACAATGAGATCTACAACTATCTTGTGGATACAACTATCAGAAAGGGGGGCTCTTCAATTCCTTAAATATGGCATATTTAAGGAAAAAGTCTATTTTATGTGACTTTCGATTGTCGTCTGTGGAGAAAAAAACTCTGCAAAAACGCCGTGCGATCACAATTTTTGATCAATTCAGGCTTTTGGGCAATGCTCTATGAATCCAACACAAGATGACGCACGCAGGGCTAACCAGAGGCTTTTCAAACCGCTGAAAAGATTTTTGCCTCGTTTTCATGTAATGATTTGCATTTGTGTGGTAAAAAACAGCCCTTGATAATTTTAAAATAGTTGCAAGAGTGTTATCATTTAAACTTGCCTGAAAAGGTTCCCCTTCTCACACCTTTAACTCATTCTTGTCACGCACTGCAATTTATTGGTCCATATGGACCAATGACGCTAAAATTAATGTAAAATTTGCGTTACATTCGATTGACGTCAAACTTGGCACAAAAGAAGATTGTAGAATTAGCCAATCACTGGCCGTGTTTCATCGAGATTGGTTAAATAAATTATTCAGACCGAATTTTTAATATGCATCATTGATCGTGAGCGTAATGGCGCCTGGCTACGGATACGCTTGTGTTAGGGAAACAGGCTCAGAAGAAGCAACATCTCTGGTCTACGAAGGCATTAGTGGTTCAGAAGGAATATAGATTGGTGAAGAAAGTGAATTAGATCGCCTTCTTTTCAATGAGAGCAAATTCGAGGTGAGTGAGAAAGAAATTTTTTCATACGACGCCACGAGGTCACGAGCAACAGAACATATGTTCTTGAATTGCGGGAAAATGTGGTCTTAATTCGCTTGAATTCTTGCTTATTTCATCAAAATATCTTTCTCAGTTCGCATCTGGGGGTGAATAGCTCTATAATATTGTTTAGAAATGTCGTTTTGGGGCATCACTGTGAAAAGACTCGCTGTAGTGTGCTTGTGACGCCAAAGTCTCGAGTTGCAGTGTTTTTCGAAAATGCATTATGTTGCTAAGGAAGCTTTCCGGTGTGCGTGCTTTGAAAATTATCGTCGTTTTGTTACTCTCTCTTTTACGACTTGGGTCTTTCTTGTTATTTGATGTCCTCAAAGACTTAACGAAACAATCTTCTAAATTACACGTGTGTCTGATGTGTTTTGTAAGTGATCAAGAATTTAGATTGGTTCTTGGACCCTGGTGATGAGGGCGATGGAGGGGATTCTGGGGTTTGAGATGATAAAGTCCTCCAGTTCAGTTTATTGTCAACATATATTTCTATAAAATAAGGCTTGTTCTGCGTATGAGCTGATGAATATGTTGTTCAAATGACGAATCATAATATTATTGTTGTTCTTTTTGCTCTGTATAATCCCCAATCCCCCTCCCCCACCCCCCCTCTGCCCCTGATGTGGTAATTTAGGTTTCATGAGTACAACAGAATAAGAAATAAGTATTGTAGTCTGGGTACACTAGGATAGTGGGTGATGAAGTAGAGCTTTTGTTTGCCTTTTACAACAGTCATATATATGTACATAACTGCAGATAGAAACACTCTGCCCCCAAATTTCCGAAAATTGAAAATATTTGCATTGATTTCTATTAATTTTGCACATGTTGTGAGTAAACTATGAAGTATTGTTATTTTGGCCAAAAAAAACAACTTTTGGGGTTTGAGAGGTATCTCTTTTTTCCCTTTTACAACAATTTCTTGTTCACCCCAAAGGACACACCCAACCAAAACAAAAATTACATTTTGCATTGATTTTAATTGAATTAAATGGTTATGAGTAAAAATTGGTAATTAATTTTGTTTTTGCTCTTTTTCCACCAGATTTGGAGGATTTGCAGGCGATACATCAAGGAAAATTTTCCCTTTTAACTTTTCTGGATACTCACACCTCTGATTCATATTTTATGTATTTTGCAAAATTTTATTGAATAAATTATGCTAATTTATGATGGTTATAATTTTATTTCATAAGAATGCGAGCTCCTTTGGAGCCAAATTTTTTTTTCCTGCGAAGCCTAATCATTGCTGATTAAATTGATGTGTAGCTTTCAAATCTCCTGCAAATAGTTTTGGAAATATCAAATAAAATTAAAATGTGGTTGAAATATGCCTTTTTTTCACCTGACAAGAATGAGTTAAACGCACAAATGCACAGAAGACAGCTTCAGCACAGGACACCCAACAATAGCCTCGACATATTTGGAAGGAGGGGTCACGTGACACCAAAGAAAGCATGAAAGCAAAGCAAATGTCTTCTTCCACAATATCTACGACTTTTATTTACAGAAACACTCAAAAATGGTATTTTAGAAGGATTTCCACTAACAGCCTCGTTTTCATGTAGGCCATTTTAGGGCCTGCGTAGTATTCGTGTCCAGTGTTGAATTTGGCTTGGCTCCATATCCAAAAATGTTAGTCTTAGGGTTGGTTGTAATCTGGCAAAGTTTCATGCTTTTATCATAAAAGTGAACAATTTTGGTCGATAACAGCTGGACTACAACTCTTGCAGAAGAAAACCTCCAGTTGTGCTGAAGTGACTGCCAAAGACGATCGACTGGAATTGTTAGAAATGTGGCATAGGGATCTGAAAATCTGAAATCAGCCGGTTTTAGTGTTGAGTTGACTTCTCTCACCGCAAAACACTCCCCTTTCGAAGCTGTCGACCCTACCACAATACCGGATTGTGTATTGGTGTTACATCCTTCACATATACATACCTTTCACGCTCAAACGGGGCCTTTTCAACCTGTGCGTCTTGTCATTCACGTCGATGGTGCCTGGAGTTTGCATTGTCCCATATTCGTCCGAACACACAGTTATTAACTCCGGCAAGCTTCTCGCACTGGAAACTTCGCGTGTCATTGAGCTTGCTCAAGAGATGTTATACGAAAATCACACCTTATGTCCAGGGATACTGATAGATTTTAGTTGCTTGGGATATTTTCCAGAAAATATAAGAGTCATTGGTGGACCTACAAGCAGTGCTCATTCAAAATCTTGCAAGATTTGGCATATTCCCAGCAGGAATATCCTGTTGAAAAGCGGTTCGGATCCTCGATTGAAAAGTGTTTGTACTGAGTGTCGTGAAGTTGCCAGTTACATTAAAAAGAGGGTAACAGCGAAGAAGAACGTGGACGAAGCCACCTGAATGAAACGGCAGATGCCAAACAGCCATTTCCCCTGGAAATTTCTATCACCAGGCAGTAAAAGCAAGCGCACAAGGAACATTCGGCAGCAAAGATCAAGAGCCATCAAGCAGGCGTCTCTCTCCTCCGCAGAGGCTCCCGCTGGGTATCCCCATCAAAATATCAATAATTGACAAAAATAGAAAGCGTGCGGGGGACGATGGGAAGAGGGAAACGGCGGGAGCTCTCTTCTCTTCTCTCTTCCCCCTTCCCATCATGCCCCGCGCGCTCTCTTTTTCTTTCTCCCCAGCCTCCCCACAACACAAAAGCCTCCCCACAATACAAAGAGGCCTCTGCGGAGGAGAGAGAGCAGGCGTTGAAGTTTTACAAAAAAACCAAGGTAGAGCTACCTAGCAATCAGTCAAAGGAACTTTGTCAACTGATTCAGGCAATTGAAAGTTCAGAGGCTGGGAAGAGAGAGCTTGGCAAAATAGTACAGGAGGGAAATCAGTTCGAAGGCAAAGGGGGTCTCAAAGCAGGTGACTGTGTCAATGAGACGTGGCGCAAGGACAGGGAAGAGTTTTTCAAAGACCAGCAAAGCAATGGTGAGATAGCTCTAAATTATATATTAATGCTTAATTTTTTAGGGCAGCATACGGAGAAAACTGTGAAGATTTTCTTCCCTTCGAATATTTTCATGCCTGGCAACAATTTTCTTACTTTAAGTGCAAAAATTCATTGAGCTTTTAAAATGAGTTTTAGTGAGTCATGATCAGGTTGTAGGGATTTTGAAGTACTCTCGAAATCTCTGAATGAAGATCTGATAATAACAAATAACAAAATAATAATAACATTTTACTGCAGGTCAATTAAGAAAACTCTTAATGCATTTGTTGCAACCAGATTGATTAACATGTTGAAACATACTTTTTATCATTATTTTCGACAGTGACCATGAAGAAAGGAAACCGGTGGTCAGTAGCCACTATTAGAGTTGGTAAGGAGACAAAACCTCAATGCCCTAACTACACAGTATGATTTCCATATACATACCAATACATCTACTTTTCTCAATCATGCATTTCCTGCACTAAAAAAAATTTTTGTTTATTACAAAATATTATATTTTGACTATTATATCTTTGATGACAGCCAGTATTTTATGTACCACAGCTCTGGCAGTATACAACCGATGTCCATCAGCTTATGAGGCAGTACGTGATCTTCATATACTACAGCTTCCTTGCACAAAAGTTCTAAAGAAGATCTTAAAAGATGGTGCTGAGAATCCTGGTATTGACCTCAATTACTTGGAGTCACAACAACAGAAGTTTAAGGCATACCAACAACAGCGTGAAAGTGAGGGACATCCCCAGCCTCTGGGAATTGGTGTCTTGATGTGGGATGAAGTAAAGGTTAGGGAAGAAATATTAATTGTTACTTTTTACATAACAAGCTGAGACTGTAGTCCAGGGAAAAGGGAGGGGTTGTATTAATTAATTTTTTGCTCTGAATTGTGAAAACAAAGGTGTCCAGTATATGATTTCTATGACAAAATTAACACTGTCTTTTCACCTTATAAGAGCAATACTGTAGTTAGATGCCAGGGATTACCAGGCACTGCTAGCACACACTCTTGTTTTATGGTACCACATGTATTTTATATGTTGTAAAAAAGAAATGAGCAATAAGAGGAGCCCATAAAATATATATTTTTTTGTAAATTATATGTTTGGTTCCTTCATTGCTCTTGTGATGAAAATTATTCACATTTTTTTTTTCTTTCAGGTCCAGATGAAAGTAGCATGGAACTTAAAAGGTGGAGGAATATCTGGTTTCACTATGGCCCATGATGAGTTGCCTGTGTTGCATGATGTTTTCTCATCAGCCATTGCAAGTGGGTGCCAGAAGACTAGCTATATACATAGTGCAGTTTCTGTGGAGGGACCTGACGTCTGGGTTTGACCTGATTGGACCTTATTTTCCTGTTCCGAACTCTATGGATTCAAATCTCCTACAAGAATTTTTCATGCTGTGCCTGAAAGCATTCACTGCATATGGTTTTAGAGTTGCCATCGTTCTTTGCGATGGGGCATCTTCTAATTTGACCTTATTGAAGATGTTATGTGGATTTCCAAGGGCAACACTCCCCATTGATGAGGAGGCAGCAGATGAGAGAGCTCGGTACTCTGTGGACATGTCGTTTACTAACCCAGAGGATCCTACGGGAAATCCAATATTTGCAATGATTTGCCCAAGTCATCAGGTAACTAGCATCTTTAAACTGGTATTACCACTTTATGTAAGTCATTTAAGGAAGGTCAACTCTTATGAAGTTACCTAACCCATTTTTTAACACACAATAAACCCTGTGTGTTTTCAGTTGGTTTGAGCTCTTCAAATTCTCTGGCTGATTCATGACCTTTTTGTTTGTCAACAATGCAATTTTTTTAACTATCCTCATTTAGGATGTTCCATAACTGTCCATGGCTGCTAATTAAATTCCGTGACTTTCCAGGACTGTGAAATGAAATTTATAACTACTTCCAATAACATTCCAGGTTTTTCCATGACCAGAATGTACCTTGTACCTTGCAAATTCTTTTGGTCACAATATTGTTTAGCAGATGATGTCAGAAAACAAAATTTGCCAATATGCACAGAATTTAAATCATATCCATTGCTATTCAACTGTTCCTTCCAGTCGAATATAGTAAATTATTGTCGTTGTCAGATTAGTATTCCATTCAAAGAGAGTTGGTGTTCCACACACTGAATTTTACACGTAGTTGTAGTCGTTGTTTCTTTCCTGTCCAGTATTATAATATTTTCCAACTACAACACCCCCCCCGCCCCCCCCCCCTCCCTCCCCTGGTACTACACTTTTTCAGAAATTATCATGAAACATTCCTCACAGATTTATGTTATATAACAATATGTTATTACAGCCCACCTTTTTAATTTGTAGCTTAAAAATATGATAGCTGCCTTGTACAGCTCAAGACCAAATGGGTCCAAGAAGCTGACATTGAATGGCACCCAGTTTGGATGGGAAACAATCCAGAAGATATATGAAGAGGAACTGCAAAGGGCAGAAAGGGGTACCAGCCGCAAAGTCCCTGGACTGAAATATGCTTTTGTGTATCGTGACAACTGGACTCGTCTAAATGTGAGGCCAGCAAAAATCATGCAGGTGATTGGTGGTTATCTGTTGTAATTAAATTGTCTTTAACCTTAAGTATCATAATCCAGGGTGGAGCAGAAACTTCCATGCAGTCATCAAATGCTGCATCTTACATTCAATTCAAAAATCAAAAACAATGAAAATAATAATTTATGTAGGCTGCAGCAGTGGTGACATTATTATGATTTAATCATTAGCATCACTGGTGTAATTACAATTTTGGCTATGTTTTCCCCTATAGCAACGCTACATGATTGCAGCAGTCCAAGACCTTACTGGGCAGAGTGCAAAGCCTGTTGCTAGTTTCTTGGAGGCGTGTAACCTGATTTTTGAAAATGGTTTATTGAGCTCACGGAGGGTTAGAAGCATGAACAGCCCAATCATCCAGAACATCAAAAAAGGAATGGAATTCTTTGAAAAATGGTGTTTCAGCCATGAACAAACAGGTACAGGCATGTGATTCTAAGAAATACCCTGTAAGTTTTAGTCAAGCAAGAATTTGGAGGATTTTCATCCTTTTGCTAATTTCTCCAGCTGCATAAACACCAAACTATTATATTTGCAAAAATGAATTGAACAAGACCTGTTATAAAAAATGATTTTAATGGGTTTGGTGATTGCTGAGGAGATCTTGTACACTGATACTACTGAATTTGTTTGCCTTAGAATCTCCTGATAATAGCAAGAAATCTCGTCAGAGCAAGTTCCTCGCATGGCAGGTTAGTTGAAGTTGATAAATTATTATTAGGTAGTTCCATGGCTAATATGGGTAATTATCAATAGCTGAAATAAGCAACAAAAATTTGTTGAAGCATTGAGATATGTATGGGGTGATTATTTCTACCATGTAATGGTAAAATGAAACAGCTTCCATTATGTGGTTAAAGGAGCCTTTTTCTGTAACAATATTATATTGTTTTTTAAGTATTGTTTCATTATCAAAATTAAATAGTCTTGTTGGAAATGTTATTTGAAGAGCATTGTAGTTGGTGCAAAAAAATAATTACATGTCAATGACAATTCACTTTCTACTTCATACAGATTTTGGTTTTTTTCTTGCATTGAGTGGTAATAGAACTTTTTTCTCCTAGACTTGGGATCTGCTCCGAGTTGTGGTTAATGGCTTTCTGTCATTTTGCGAGTGGTTTTTCACCAACGTGTCTCCAGATGGAAGATATTTCATTAGCCCTTTACGAATTAATGGCAGTGCATTGGAGTCAATCTTCAGTGTACTTAAGCATACAAGTGGTGGAAATTTGTCTGCTATTTCTTACTCTCCTGCATTAGGCAGATTAATAAGTAGGAAAGCTTTAATTCAAAATAAGAATTCAGAGAAGGGATACAGGGATGTTAAGCTTAACATAGATGGGGAGGCAACCTCTTCTGAAGACCAGGTTTCCGTTTTGTACACTAGTATTTCAAATACGCTTTGTAAATACATATTCCCATCCACTATTGCTCAATCGTCACTTGGAGGAAGACAAGGCAGCAATGCCTGTACAATAATAGCTGTTAAATTTGGGGCCTATATTTCACAGCACAAGCTGGAAGTTTCTTTGCTGTGGAAACAGCTGCCACAATTGTGGATTCACTCGCTAATTAATGCAATCTGTGATGGCAATGACATGTATGATGAACTTTACGGTGACACAGCCATCTACCTTGATGTAGAGGATGTAGTACAGTCAGTGGGTACAGAATTTAATGTGGAGTCTGTCAGTGCACTTTTTGGTTTTACAAATGCAAATGATTATGCTTATCTGTCAGCCCATCAACCTTCACTGCCAATGTTGTTGCTTGGTAACCAATTAAGTACTAATGAATGGTAAAGTTTTGGATCAATCAGGTAGCTTTTTATGAAAGGCAAAAAAGGTTTAATCATGGTATGTTAAATGACAAAGTTTCATTTCATTTTCTCTCAGCATTTCATTTAGGCCTAGCCCTTCAACAGTGGAGGACCCCAGATCTCTGTACAAACCCTCACTGCTCTTATTATAATTATTTGATGGGCTCCTGGTTAGCCATTAATTCTGAGCAGGAAACGATTTGCATTGTTTTCACGCACCCCTCCCCCAATCCCTCTGTCTCCCAAAATATAGCGTGACAGTATAACGTGACTAATTTGATGTAACCGGAAATTCCAAAATTTATTGTTGTTCTACGTGTATATGAAATGCGACAGAGCCAGCTGCTCGCCACTAAGCTGATTTACACTAGACAGAAATATTGTATTGCATGAAAACCAGAAGTTTACTAAAACAGACAGCCAACTGCCCATTGATCCCGATGCAGGGGCCTCACTAACTGCACTGAGACTTTAAATAGACGATCCTAATTTGCTATCTACAGTCTACATGAAAACGCACTATTTTTTCCACAAGATAAAAAATATTCAGTTTTATGATTTTCCTCTTGGTATTTTTCTCTAACTTAATGCACCTGTCAATGTTAAGCCCTAGGGGAGGGGGGCCGCGCATACCTCGGGAATTTGACTCAGTCTCCTCTCCCGTGGCTGGGGAATAGTAGGAAATTTGAAAAAACTCATGATCCCGAGGGTGGGGATGTTTGACAAGGTCGCGCAAGAGCCTGGAACCTAGCTTTAAGTCCGCCATCTTGTAAATTACCCAGAAGACCCTGCATCGAGGTTGAGTATCACCGGCCAGTTGTTGAGCCGGACGTGATTAAAAAACCCTTAAAAAACTCTTCGATATCAACGGATTTGACTTGACTTGCTAAAAACCTGAACTGCCAGGCCCAGTGAATAAAACAGCAGATGTCTTGAACTGGATAGAGTGTGAGAAGTGCAGGGAATGGCATCATCAGGACTGAGGAGGGAGTAAGGGGATACTGATACCGCAAAACCGCACAGAAATACGTATAAACACCGCACAGAATAACATAAGAAAACCGCAAACCGCATTAAAATTCATGACTCGAAAACTTCTAAATACCCCAAACCGCTTGTTTTGTAAAACCTGTAAGAGCTGTGGTCACACGACAGACTTTTACCTAGGTAAAAGCGATTTACCTAGGGCAAATTCATCAAAACTCTCCGGAGGTAAATTCATCTCGGGTTTTGTTTTACCTACAATCATCGTCAAAAGTGTTGGGAAGGTTGCCCTTTTTACCTCTTCTTTTCCTTCCTCCCCGCGCCCCTGGCCCAATGTTGATCAAAACTTTAATGTTTGTACGCGTAATTGTTCTGTTATATCCCAACATTGATTAGGGGGGACGGGGGATATTTAGCAAAAGAGAAAACTCTCTTTTTTCAGGATTAAAATGGACTACTGTTAAGTTGTACAACCTTCCCAACTACTTTTGTCTGTGATAGTAGGTGAAAAATTCTGGAAAGATCACACTACTGATATCGGCTCTCAAGGTTTCACGCCAGTTGAATTTTTAGGAGGGTAAATGTAAGGAGGCAAGATGCGTAGGGACCTAACTGATCAAAGAGACGTTTTTTTCTCTTATCTCGCAGTTATTTCTTACGCTAATTCAACGTGCAAGGTGAAGAAAAGCGAAGACGTAGACGACTCGTGCCCCCAAAATTTCTTTCACAGCGTGAGCTATGTCCGGTTCTGTCATCAAGACTTTCGCCGATGAGCGTCTATTGGCTAGCAACCTCAGTATTTCATTTTTCCCTAGCTATCGCTTTGGGGTAGCTGTCAAGGCAAATCTTTTGTTCTCGAGACATATCCAAGACCCACACGATACAATTTCCCCGAGGTAAGTTACCTAGAGAAAAATCGGTCACAATTTAAAAATCAAGTCCCTAGGTAAACTGTCAACAAGTCGAATTTACCTAGGTAAAAAGTCTGTAGTGTGACCACAGCTAATACCACAACTTAAAATAAAAATTTCCGCGAAATGGCACCAAGCCTTACGCCCCCCTCAGTACTGTGTTGGTTTTTGCGATAAAATCAATGACACTGACTGGAAGTGCCCCCTCTTCTCGGGTAGTTGAGGTTGGAAAGTTTATTGTATAAGAATGTATGCATTGTAAGTAAATTTCCGGGTATTAAACATATATGATCACACGTTTAGCCGCCAGGGAAGGGGTATTTGACACCAGCATTTGGCCCATGGGAAGCGAATTTGACATGAAAATAGGCTAAAATGTCAAATCGCCCTGGGTATGCCCAGCCCCCTTCTCTGGGCTAAACATTGACAGGTGCATAAAGGAATAAAATCCGCGCTCGCATGTTGCTTTCATTAGTTCGAACTTCAAACAATGTAAATCGATAAAACGATCGCTAACATATTTTTTACCTGATACCGATATGAGTTAAAAATTCGCTGGAGTTCGCTGTTTGTTTCACCCATGACTAAATTTTCTTCATGGCGGATAACTGTGCCGCTTTATAACTCCTCCCAAGTTTTTATGCCATTTTGCAAGCGAACTCTCTCTTTTGAAGCAATACATCTCAATGCACAATAATTGACCCTTACATTAAGTAAAACCCATTGGTTCATTCATATTAATACTGTTTTTGCCCCTCACATTTACAGTGTTCGTTCGTGTTCAAAACACCTTTAGGAAAATAAAGGTCGTGTAAGTCGTGTGTATTATGTTTCAAGATAAATATACTCTTTTTTAAGTTCCCATTTTGCGGTGTTTACATCTCCATAAAATGGTACAAGAAACATCAAGCAAGCTGAAAATTTACAAAGGCATGTTTTTTGAAACTCGCTAAAGCTCTGAATGCTGACATCAATACATCTGATACATCGGAGAAGAGGTTCGAAAAGTATTCGTGCAAGGGTCCGTGCAAGGGAAAATCGTATGAACCGTGACATGAGAACATCGTTTCTCGGTACCAGACCCTCGTGTCTTCCCTTCCCCGGGGGGCTGTTTTTCTGCACAGACGACCGAAAACCGAATTTATAACAGCCCGGAAAAGGGGCAGCCCACTCTAAACCTTGTCGCCGACCATTGGGTGACATAGAATTTGATGTAAGAGTGAAACACAGACTCACTTGAACATTGTACCCTTTAGTGAAAGACTTTCGTAACAAGAAAAATGAGGACCATTCTTAAGTCGGGGCTGTATAGTAACTTTTAAATTCCACCATTATGAATAAAATAAGCAAGTTAGCCATTCTAAGTAGGAAACGATTAGCTTTATTTTCACGAACCCTTGGGTGTCTGTAAAACTAGGAACAGGAGATAGGGTCAGATCAGGATCCCAGTCAGATTGGCCAGTAATTCACTTACGAAGATTTTAAGAATTCAAAGTAGTCCGTTGCCTTTATATGAATACGTACTTACTAGCTTTTTGTCTGAAATATAGCTGAAAGAGTCCTTGAATGAAGTCAAGAAAAAAAGAAAAGAAAAGAGTTTGATTAGACCCAAGCGGATGGCCCATGAGGGATTTACCAGGGCCGTAGCTAGGTTTTTTGTAACTGGGGGCATTATCGCGAGTGCCGAAAGGTTATTTTCACCGAAACGCTATTTTCAGCACTCATGAGATATGTCACCGAAAAATCGACCTCGAATATGAAAATGGCAAACAATTGCAAGTCACTATAATCAAAATATAAACTGAGTCTAAAGAAAACAACTCCATCCACAAACTTGATGTGTCTGGCTCAACAGGCCTCCCCCGCTAGCTACGGCTCTGTTTACAATATTTTCACTAAATACCCTTTACCTAATTTGATTTCTACCGTGCTCGAGGAGTATCACTTAGAATTACAACTTGTTTTGATTCTTGTATTGTTTTCTTTGATTTTGATATTTTGTCTTAAAAAGAAAAATATTTTTTGTTTCAGTGTTTCATTTTGATTTTTCATTTTATCGTTGATTTTCAAAGTTTATTGCCCTTGATTTCTCAATTGGCGTTTTTGATTGTCAAAATGAGACAAATATGGATCTTACCCACGTGACAGGCTCAGTAGTAGAGCGTTTTAACATGACGTCACGGCGGCCATATTGGTGTTCCAAAATAATGAAACGGCGGCTATGTTGGTGTACCAAGAAAATCCCCTGGGAGTTTATCTCTTTTCTCATGTAAATGATTTCTTTTGTTCCAATAAATTAGCATAGATGCTGGCCACGTGACTGAAAACGCTCTACACCCAAGGCCAGGACACTCAGACATATATCATGGCCGAAGGAGACAGAGAGGGTGTGTTCCGAGGAAGCTGCCTTAACAACCATCAGGGCAGTCGCATAAAAGTTAAGCTAAAACAAAAGAATTTATTCACGGAGGAACTACAGGACATCGCGCTTCAGTCCAAAGTCTCACTAATCTCAAGCAAAAAAATACCCGAGGAATGCAATAAAGGAAAGTTTGGGTAAAGTTTTGCCACCGAGGCCTTAAATTCAAACTAACACCCCGCTTCAGAGAAGAGACCATATAATAGATCTCTGATTCGTTTTGTTTCTCATACAGAAGTACCTAATTTTTCACACTAACATCGCAAATGTAGACTGCTTATATCCAACCTTTACATTCTTGTAAAGGATTCCGCTCCAAGACCCTGAAACCCATGCCCTGCTCAGGGGCACACTATCGTCAAGGCCAAATAAGGGAGTGCCCCCCTTCCAGGAAACACCTACAGAACGAAGAATTGTCCATGCAATATATGATGTACCGCTCGAAAGAAAAAAAAACAATCATTAGCTGGAAAATAAAAATGAAACACTGAAACCAAGAATATTTTTCATTTTAATCAAAGACAAAATATCAAAGGAGGAGCCGGCTCCTGATCAAGGTAAAAGAAAACAAGACAAGAATCAAAATAACTGAATTTTATAAGTGATGCTCCTCGAACACAGGAGACATCAAATCGGTAATATATTTATTTAGAAGATTTTTTATTTTTGGCTTATTTATCTTTTTCTTGACCTCAGTAGTGGCTCTTTCAGCTATATTTCAGACAAAAAGGCTAGAAAGGTGTTACTAAACAGAGTAACGTAGTAACGAGAAAACGAGTAACAGCATAAAAATTCAAGAGGTTAAAAAAATAAATAAATAAATCCTACTGAAAGAAAAAACATAAAAATGGTTGTAATATATTCACAGATGGCTGGACAATAGGAAATTTAAAGAGTTCTACAATGCGATCAACTGTAACATCAACCACGCCACCAACTTCCACAGGAGAAGCAACACCACGTCTACGTCATTCACGACAACAGTGCCTACTACGGCAACCACGTGATCGTCTTCACCACCAAGTACCACAGACGCACCTACAACAAGTACGTCAGTGCCTACGTCACCAAGTACATAATCTACTATGTCATCATCTACACCACCAACTACCACAGAAATAACGACACGCAGCCACGTCATCAACTGCAGAATCCATTACGTCATCAACTGCCCCAACAACAACCACAGAAGCAACAACAGTTGCTACAACAGCATCTACGTCATCAGAATCCACTACGTCGTCGTTTACATTATCAAATACTACAGAAACTTCGACTACCACGGCGGCGAAGAAGGCATCCAGCACGATATTGATGACATTCTCTACGCCACCAGGATCAGATACTAGTCCCTCAGCCACAGGGAAAAAATTGTCGACAGCGTCCAACTCAACGCCTGTTTCAAAAACTTCAAACAGAAACACTTAAGGTCTTTCTTAGAGTTTTAGCCCTGGATCACATATTGGTACTTCAACAACATCATTTGAAAAAGGTGAAAAGAATTATTTAGAACTGAAGAAGTTTGTAATATCGGGTGCAAAATATCAACTCGTGGCCTATCATCAGATATTGGAACATAGAACAAAGGAAGCTTGAGTGGCTTACAAGTCAAATCAAACAACATATGTACATGTCCTAGGTATGAAAAAGGGAAAGATAGTTAGATAGATTCGGGTGTCCATCGAGTCAATCGTCGTGATATGTTCTTGTATTATTTTAATTGGCAAGAGCAGAATTTCTTGTAGGTTTTTACCATGACTTCTTTCTCTCTCTCTGTTTTTTTTTTACTGTTCTGATCAATACAAAATGGGAACTGAAAATATGAAACCACTCTTTTCACTTACTTTTAACTTGCAATATATCATTTTCCCTTATTTTTATTTATTTATTTTTCAGAAAGAGCAGAATCTAACGAGAAGTTCTTCTCTAGAAATCAAGAATTCATTCTCTCTGGTTCGCTGGTTGGCTTTTGTCTAATTGTTATCGTGGGTAATATGCTTTATTTGTTCAAAAGAAGGGTACTGTTACGACAAAAAACGTAAGTTATTTCAGCTGATATTCTTCTGTGAGGGCCGATTCAGAAGCCGTACAATCGAATTCAAATTTAGGCCGGTCGCAGTTACTAGTCAGGCGCCGATCTTTCATTCCAAACGAAGTAAATTCAAAATGGAAAATCGCACATTTTGGTAGGGCAGGAGCCGATTAATCGGCTTTGTACCCCAGAACCCTCGTTGAGAAAGTTGAAATATTATTTATTGTACAGAAAGAAACATCGCAGTATAAGATTTGTTTTAGGAGCATCTCCTTTTGAAGGAGATGACAAACATTAATTGATTACATTTTTTAAATCACTGCCAAGTTTCCGAAGGAAACTCTAAAAAACGTTTCATAAAGTTTTATGGCTTCCTTCAATGAACCATGTTAGTTATCTGCGTGTTTCAGTTTTATTTATTTGGTTTTTTAACCAAGGTTTTGGAGACATTTAAATTAATATTTTCTGGAAAGTTTTGTACAATGATGTACTTTAACAAGTGAATAAAAAAAACATAAAAAAGCTGCATTTTCTTTACCAATCGTATGTGTAATTCAAACACCATGTGTGGGCATCAACTTTAGAGGGGAAGGATAACGGTTACTGTTGAGAACTGTTCTTTAAAGAGCACTAAACCTTTTGCTAAATATTCGCGCTGTGGTAGTCCTGAACAACCGCATTCCCGGGTTCTGTCTACCAGTTTCATCTGCCTTGAGACCAGACTTAAGTCGTACATTCTAAAACCTGTGATGAAGATATATTTTATTTCCTTTCTTTCCCTATGATACGTCTGTGCACAGGTTACCCACTCCATAATAATCAAACCAGAACAGGAAGTCTTTTTGTACGACTAAGTTGGAAAAACCGAATCAACAAGTCAATAAAAATTCGCAAGGCACCTGGATATAGTTAAACCAAAACCAGAAAGTTCTGACGCAGCCCCTTTAAAACTTGATTATAAGTCCGTTGTGTCCACGGTGACCCTGAACCCCAGATGCAAAATTGTTTGTTGTATCAACTGATGTGATGAAGTGATTTTGCCACCTTAAAAGAAAATCCAAAAGCCGACCTTTCGAACGGTTTTTATTGTGGTAAATTCATTTTCTCAGCTCAGTTGATGAAATTAAACCTTTTTTTTTTGTTTCAATCCAGCCTTATCAACGAATCAAAGACGGTCCGAAGACGCTCCCTCATACTTCCTCTGTCCGTCGGATTATCAGTCGCTAGATGCTTAGTTAGAACGCAATCCGACTGTTAGCCAGTCTAAGTATCCCTCGCGCGCGCCCGTTCTCTCTTTTGCGCCCATTTATTTCCTAGTGCCTGCTACGCAGTCTATAATGACGTCAACAAAAATATTAAAGCACAACAAAGGCTAAAACAAATATGCATCGTTAAACAACAGCCATAACAACTGCACAGAAATTACGCGAACGGGCCGGATATTTCTACAAATACACATGTTCAGATCGATCGATCTTTGCGTCGTGAGGGACGCATGCCATGAAATAATTTGTGCCTTTGGAAATTTTTATGCGTCAGGGACGCAAGACGCAAAGCTACCAAAATCACTCGAGGTCTATTGCATCTGTTCAGTTACAATTATTAGATTTTCTCTATGTTGTCCATTCAAAAAAGAGGGCAACCCCCCCCCCCCCCCCCCATCCCTGCGCAGACCCTGTGCGGTACATTAAAAAAATGAAGATTACCAATAAAAGAACAACCCATTATGCTATAAAAATACTCATTACAATATTTTGTTACGGTAAGGGTATAGAAGGAAAAATGTGTTTATACCACTCAACTCTCTTAGTCCAATGGCGATAGAGATAAAAAGAATATGAAAAATACATAAATTTCTGTACAAAACGCTTAGAATTGCCTTACAAGCGTCGAAAGGATTGACTTGTCTAATCTTTGCCTTTCCCTGCGGTGGGATGCCCACAAAAGCCTTTAAAAAGCCGTGTGGATAACTGATGACATAAATGTATATACAGTAAAACGCTGATAGCTCGAACTCGGATAACTCAAACTCCCCACTAACTCGAACTAAGTCCGATTTCCCTTGGATTTCACCCCACTCATCAGTCATTTTTACTCGGTTAACTCGAACTCGCATAACTAGAATTCGCCGCTAACCCGAACGAAATTTTCTTTCCCTTGATCAAAAATTCACTGAAATTTACCCCGATAACTCGAGTTCTGGTTCTTGTAACTCGACTCGGATGCCATCCCATTAGCTCGTCTTCTTAAATAAGGGTAAAAACATTCAAACTAACAATGGTCAACTCTAGAGCAATTTGATTATAACTAGTGCAATGAACAGATCACGTTTTATCATAAAAATGCCTAATCATGTTAATTCGTCTGTTGAAATAACTTAAATTTGCATTGCACTTCCCACTGAACACGTGGCAAATCGCCCCCGTTAACTCGAACCTCAGCTAACTCAAACTGTTCTTTGTTTCCCATCAAATTTCGAGTTACTGGAGTTCTACTGTAATATACAAAGCACAGCAAATTCACTTAATGGGTAATTGTTTGTTTGTTTCTTATGCTTTATTTCAAGCGTTTCTTCTTAATTTCGGATCTCACTCGCTGGAACGGTACTTTACCTGTTAATTGGGTATTCTTAGCTGCTGAATAAAGTCAACTATTTCAACCACTTACCCTGAACTCAATAATGCTTTGAGACTGAATAATTTAACCGGACTATGTTTGTTCTTAAAATCCCAAAAGTATTTTCTAAACATTTCTTTGTTTGAAGGCGTAACGTTGCAAAATGTTCTGGTGATTAATGGACTCAGTTCTTTTAGAAAGGTAGCTGCCAAACTAGCTTAGAATAAACACGGTTCGCAAGTTCTATTTTTATTTACACGCTGATTTGTTCTGTTGCTTGCTGAAACAATGACTAAAATAACAGCTATCTCAAGCTCCTCGTTAAGATACCGGCTAGTAAAATTACATAATTAACTATTGTCGAGAAACGCTGATTTATTTAAGTGCTCCTTTAGAAATCAAAAATTTTACTGCGTCAGAATTACTCTTCTCTATTGCTCTAGCCAGAGCAGTTAAACCGTAGACATCTTTTAAATGGACATCAAGACCAAGGGACAACAGCTCGTTGATGATGGATGTGTTTCCACCTTGTGCAGCGAAGTGGAGCAGACTGAGCCCACTGTTGTTTTTCAAAGATGGATCAGCACCCATTTGTATCAGAATCTGAAAAGCACTTTGTTTGTCACAAAAAGCTGCAGACATCAGTGGAGTAGCGCCATCATTATTCCTTGAATCAATGTCAAGACCAAGTGATAACAGCTCGTTGATAATGGATGTATTTCCAGCTGTTGCAGCAGAGTGGAACACACTGAACCCCTTGTTGTCTTTCAAAGATGGATCAGCACCCTTTTGTATCAGAATCTGAAAAGCACCTTGTTTGTCACAAATAGCTGCAATCATCAGTGGAGTAACGCCACCATTACTCCTTGAATCAATGTCAA